AAATTTTCAGTTTGGTTATTGCTTGGAGACCAATATATTTTTCTCTCTTTAAATTTAAACACTGTGATTTAAAAAGTTGTTCATACTACAGTTTCGGCATTCAGTGTTCCAACACCAATCCCACCGCCAGTGAGAACTTCCCTCCAAAACTTTTTCAACTTCCCACCTACCCCAAAGCCTACTATTTAGGGAGGCACAAACACAACAAAATGGCAAATAGAATTATCAGAAAATAGATCACTAACAGTCAATTTGTGATAATTGTTCTATGTCACAATGGTTTTACTAAAGTCATTGTCAGGATTGCTTCTACACAACTTTCCCACCAAATTTGCTGTGCTCCTAATGGGCTGTCAGTACTGTGATTTTGGAGAAGGTGTTGCTTAGCTGTATATGTAGCTGCATGTTTTGGAGATTAGTATTTTCTTTTATTTTCTATCCCTTCAAACTCTCAATGCATTTGCCCATTTTTCTCCTTTGTTAACTGAGTATTCATGACTGTTTTTTGAACTGTCTATCAGGGAGACTATGTAGGTACTTTTCTGAGAATTTTATCTTATTCTTTTGTTTGGGAACTGATTCTCTATTTCCTCAATTTGCTTGGGGGTCTATGTTTGTGTTTTAATCTAAAGGGCTCCCTTTATCACTCTCCAGGGAGTGGGCTTGTATAGGGAATAAGCTGTATCTTTCAGGGTTGTCTCTGCTGTTCCTTGTCTTTTGAAACTGTGATAGTCTGAGCATCCGCATCCTGATTGACTTTTAGGTAGGTATTGGCATACCTTGACAGCAGACGCATATCAGTGATCCAGAGAAATCAATCTCCATTAGCATCTATTTCAGACTGTCTGAAAGCCAAACCCTTGGAAAATCTTTATTTTTTTTTAAGTCCACAGATGTATATGGCCCCATGGGGCCACAATCGCCATGATAATAAATCCTGGCCTCTGGACCAGACAGTCTGGAGGTGTCTTATGGGTGACCTTTGCAAATCATGGGACTCTAGAAGACAATCTCAGTGACAATTTCAGGGTTATAATTCCAGGATGAGAAACCTGAAGTCTTTCTATCACACTGACCTTCCAGGACAGCTTCTCCCCCAAATCCCCCCCACAGCCCTTCACACAAGGACAGGACATTGTCTTTCCAATCTTCACGTCCCATGGGCTCAGTAATTCATGTCCCTTTAGCTGTCCGGCCCCGGAGGGGTTTTCCCTGTCTGGACCCTCTGACTTATAGCCTAGGCTATGCTGCTTGCTATCAAAGGATGTGTGACTGCCCAGGGCATGAGCCAGCTGCTGGTGGGTGAGCAGAGGCAGCGGAGCCTGTTCTCAGCCTTAGCTCTTGGATGTCTGCGGCTTCCAACACCTGCCTGTTCACTCTGGACCCAGTCATGGGGTGGGGTGGGTGGAGTACCACTGGACTCCTCACCCTGTGGCCCTCAGCAATGAGTTTGAGGGGAAATGTAAGAAAAACATGGCACCCACCAGTGCCTCCATCCCCAGAGACTCCCAACTGGCTCCTACCCTGGGACAGTCACCCTTGCATCAGTAAAAGAATCTCTTTCACACAAAAGTCCTGGTGCTCTTCACTCTGTGGCCTCTGAGCTGGGTCTTAGGGCAAGTGGGTCAAGACATGGGTATTTAGTGAAGTAAAATCGTTTTCTGTAGGAGTTACGTGAGAGAAGGGGAACTCCCAAAGAGAGTGAACACACTCCAAGTTGGAATGCAGGTGATGCTGAGATGGAAGGCAACCATAAAGGGGCCTTTTAAAAAGATTTGCATGGGTCTGGGTACAGTGGGGACGGCACTTATTTTGTATGCAGGTGGCCAGGGTTCTGTCCCCAGAGCCGTGATAGGAGTGATCCCTGAGCTTGGAGCCAGGATTAAGTCCTGAGCACAGTCGGTAGGGCCCCCAAACAAAGATGCCAAACCAAGCAAAGTTGCTTGTTTTCTCAGAGCCCCTTGGTTCCTGTGTGCCCACGGTCTCTTGAATTTCACAGACAGATGTTTCTCGGTCTTCATCTCTCTAGTACACATCCCAGAATTTAGGGTACTCGGTCAGAGAGGGACACAGACCCCTCTCCTCGGGGAGAAGTGCTAGGCATGTGAGAGCCTCCCTGTAGTGGGTCACTGGCCTGTGGGAGGTATTCTCAGGCATCTTACTTCTCTCACACTCCTTCCTGTCTTTCACCCTTAGTTTCCATGGGGCTGTTCAGCTACGAGTGAGTCAGTGCCACGTATGGGTGTTTATTTGTGGTGAATTCAGGGTCCCACACACTACCACCTAGCCTTTAAACCAGCTGGATTTTTTTAAACAACTTTCAACAATTGAAATTTAAAAAGAAAACCCACAAAACTCTTTAACATACTTCTTAAGGACAAGTGCCTGGAAAAATCTTGTTCACAAAAACAATTACATGGAAATGGAAAAGATTTTTTTTTTATAGCAGCATCCCTCAGTCCTCTGAAATCTTTCAGTTATGTGCCAACAATCACATAGTTATCTGTCATCAGTTTGTTGTAATAAACACTTTATTTTAGAATCACTTTAAATTTACAGAAAAGTTACAAAAACAGTACAGACAGTTCCTGAGTTTTCTCAGCCAGTTTCCCTGTTGTAAACATTTTCCATAACCCCAGAACATTCATCACAACTAAGAATCCAGTAGTGGTACATTACTATTAATTTCATCAAGCTGCTCCTTAATGATCTACCCACACTTAATCTATTTCTCTAGATTTCTTGGAAGCACAGATTTAGAAACATCTGACTTATGAAAGTATTTGTTATTTAGCCTTTTCCTTTCTTGGTTCCCGTAAAGTACAGTTAATAAAAACCTTTATTAAGACTTCCCATGTATTGTTGTTTATATCTGTTTCTCTTTAACATCTCAAATATGGTATATCCAAAGTATTAGAAAAACCAAGTAGAGTAATTTTAATTTATCTTGACTAATTCTCCATATTTCTTAAAATGCTTTTGTCTTATTTTTTTTTTTTGGAGGAGGGTGAGGGATTGGACAACACCTAGCGGTGTCCAGGGCTTCCTCCTGACTCTGTTCTCAGGGGTCACTCCTTGGTGGGCTCAGGGAACCATGTGTGGTATCAGAGATCGAACCTGGAGTAGTCACATGCAAGACTAGCACCTTACCCACTGTATTATTTCTCTAGGCCCTGTCTTATCATTTGCATAAAAACCTTTGATCCTATCGAGTTAGCTTATGTAATTTGGTGCAAAGCATTCCATACAGGCCTTGCCCTGTGCTTGCTGACTATCCTTGACCAAGGCCTGGCCTCCTGCCTTATTTTCTCTTCTGCTACCCTGGAGTTGCTCCCTCAGTGAGGGAGATACTTGGATATAATAACTGGGCAAAGAGAAGAAGTGAAGTGTTTAAGAACATAATGTTGTTTTGTTATTTTCTTTCTACAGTAGGTCTTAATGCAGAACACTTCCCTTTCTGCCAGCCTCCAAATGTGTGAAAATTGGCTATTGAGGCTAGAGACATAAACACACACACACATGTTCCCTGTGCCCCAGGGATGGGGTGCCATAGTGTTCACTCAGGAAGCAGGGGAGTTGCTCAGAAAAGAGAGCCAGCGTGAACCCTTGACTAGGGGTGTAGACCCTTCCAGGGCAGACCTGTCTGGGAACAAGCATTAGGAAGTTGGGGATCTGGAAATTAACGTGATTAACGCATGGACACAAGTGTGTGCCACCGGTGACTCGCATGTGAATGCTGTGTAATGATCCAGAGTGTTGTGCCGGTGTCAGAGTGACTTCCCTATAACTCACATACCCTGGAAGGCCCTCGGAAACCCAGAGGTAGACATCTTTCACTCCAAACAGTGCAGTGTCTGGACTAGGCCTCCCAGGATCAGTGGACTGTCGACATGTACATATCAACCCATCTCCAAGGAGACATAGGAAATATTGGGGGGCTATGGCCTTTGCATTCTTTGAAAAATAGTTTGTGTTTTCTCTGAATAGTGTGACGACATCTAGTAAGCGAAGGTCCCTAATTAAAACCTGGCCTCATTTATATTTACAAAAGTGGTTCTTTCAGATCATTTATATAAATGTTTGCCTTTAAGTAGATAGTTTCTATCACTATCACTATCACCCCGTTGTTCATCAATTTGCTCAAGTGAGCGCCAGTAACGTCTCCATTTGTCTCTGTCACATGCTAGTGTAGCCTGATGTCATATTGGGGGCTCTTTCAGGGTCAGGGGAACGAAAACCATCATTGTTACTGTTTTTGGCATATCGAGTACGCCACAGGTAGCTTGCCAGGCTCTGCCATGTGGACGGGATACTCTCAGTAGCTTGTTGGGCTCTCCGAGAGGCATGAAGGCTTTTGGGGCAGTCTCTACTCACCTTTACAGTCAGGCATATATGCGGGCAGGATACTCTCAGTAGCCTGCTGGGTTCTCTGAGAGTGAGAACTAGACAATAAGAGGTTGTGTGGCCGCGAACTTGGTTTTAAAGCTTCTGGGAGCTTGGAGATCTCAGCCCCGGGTCCCGCACACCTAGGTTCCTCTGCCGGTTCCTTCATGCGTGAGGCTCCTCTGAGCATGTGGAGAGTGGCGATAGCATGGCTGTGGCTGGGTCCTGGAGATCTTCAGCTGCCGGGGCTCTGCTCGGGGTGGAGAGGGAAACTCAACCCGCCCTCCACCAAGGGGCCCCGGTGAGGACAGCCAGGTGAGGGGGCAGGAGACTCTGCGTTGTTCTCTCCGGGAGCTTGGTTTTATAGTCTCTTGATCCTGGCCGTTGATGGGGTTACACAGCAGTTGCTGGGTGTAAGTAGATAATTTAAAAAAAAATTTTTTTTTCCCCAAAAGAAGCCCGCAGCCCCTCCTGGAGAAAGGTGGAGACTCTGGGCTGTGGGTTAGTTTTCTGTGGGATAAGGGTTGTGGGCAAAGTCTGGGATCTGCATCCCTGGTCGAAGCGTGTATGTTTGCTTGGACTCTGCAGCCACTCATGGGTGCTTCTGTTTGTGCAAGAAGAAGCAGGGAGAAGTCAGCAAGGCGGCCAGCGCCGACAGCACAACCGAGGGCACGCCCGCCGACGGCTTCACGGTCCTCTCCACCAAGAGCCTGTTCCTCGGCCAGAAGGTAGGTGGGCTTGGGCAGATGGGGACAGGCCAGCTTCCCCACAGGGAGGGCCTGAGGGTTCTTGGGTACAGGTGACGAGGGGGCAGCTGGGGCTTCAGTGGGGAAGTGGAAGAGGAGTCGCAGCTGTGGGGCAGAGTGAGGCTTACACCCTGGGGTGGGTCTGCGGAAGGAGCTACTTTATGTGGCCTCAGCTGGTCATCATGTGGTTCAGACCAGGAAAACAGCCAGATGTCAGCACCCGGCCTAGGAGGAGGGTCTGGCAGGCTGCCCCCTTGTTCAGGGCACTGGGGGTAGACCCCTGGTTTTTTATTTGACGGGGGGAAGGGGGAGGTGGTTCTTTCTAGATGTACTGAGCAGTGCACGGAGCCACCTGACCACTCCTTCAGCCAATGGTTTGTTTTTAACCACGGGCAATGTATTTACAGCTGCCCCCGTGACGCCACTTTGCCAGGACGCCATGGTTTTGTAAAAGATGATTCACTTTTGTTGAAAATAAAAATGATGCAGAGGCTTGAGAGACCTGAGGATGAGATTGAATATTTCTCTGTGGACACCAAATAACAGGTCGAGAGAAACGGAATTAGACTTTTCTTAAGATTTTTTATCCTACACTGAAAAAAAAAGTTTTTTTAAAGGACAAAAATTTGAACTTCCATGTAAATTGCATTAAACTCGCGTCTAGTCACAACTTGGTTCTGAAGCTGCATCATTTTTAAACCTTCATCTTCACCCTCGTTTCGCATCTCAGTGACAGCCTCCTGTTCCTGCCGTCGCCAGCTGCTCCCTACCCTCTGCCTGCCGCTGGCCCGCTCGGGCACTCCGCACGCACTTCCTGGGCTGGGCTCTGTGTTCCGGAAAATAACCATGCTAGTTGACATTTGATAACCATTCTCTGTATTTCGTATGCATTTTTCAAAGGAAAAAAGAATAATCAGCACTAGTTGTCATCTTAAGGTCTGGGGCTTTGAAAAAGTTTTTCTTTTTCATTTTTTCCACTTACATATTCTCATTTCTTTTTTTAAATTTCTGGGGGTACTTTCGCACACACTCCCCCTTTTTTTTAAATGCCTTTTGGGTCCTGTCTTGAAAGTTAACATGGCCTTTTGTCATGCGCTGCTTTGGTTTGAATTGAAACAGGGAAATCCTGGTTCTTCACTCTGGCTCCTGGCCTCCCCTCGAGCTTGGACCTGGAAGGTTGTTAGGGAGGTAGAACAGTTTACCCCCAAGGCCAACCCCCTCTCTCTCTCCTCCCTTCCTCACCTGTGGGTGCCCTGACCCTGTTCTCTGCCTTCTCTGGGTTCTTGCTACCATGCTGCCTGCCACCTCAAAGTCAGCCTCCAATCAGAACCTGCACCGAACATTTGAGCACTCAGTCACTCTGTGGCCTTCTGCCTCTGTGATGGGGCCTTTGGTGGCCAGAGGCCGTGCAGACTCTGCTGGCTCCTGCGCCAACACGCCTGGCGGACATTCAGCCACAGGCAGTGCTGTCTTTGGGTGTTTGGGACATCTGCTGTTCTCAGGTCAGGACGAGCTGTCTCAGAGAATCCAGAAAGCAGTAATCCTGTGAACACAGGCTGCCCCCAAAGATTAGAGGTAGTACTGTCCAGTAATGTACAGTTGTGTCCTCTAACATTACCTAAGAGATGGGTTACAGTGGAAGAAGTGGGCCTGGCAGCCAAATGGACGAGCCTATTAGAAGTCATGACTTTCAGAGGAGGGACCTGAGGGACGTGGGGGACTGGTTCGTGGTGAGAGGGAGGGTGAGTGTAGGAGCCCAGGCAGCCTTTCTGGGACACAAAGAGAGCATTAGAGAGTGTTAGTGGGAAATACGCCCCCAACCCACCCCTGGCTGTTAACCGTACCCTCAGTTTAGGGACATGAGAATCAGGCCTCCAGCACTGGGCACCCCCAGTCCCACGCTGCAGAGGCTTGTTGCCCTCTCTGGAGCCCTGGGGGCTCACAGTGGGAGAGAGGAGGCTGGGGGAATGGAGGGGACACCCTCTTGCCCTCAGTGGCTGTTCTGGGAGGTGAAAGTTCCTGCAGAGAGTGCAGAAGGGGCAGAGCCATAAACCTGACACGTGCGGTTTTACACCAGGCACCCTTCTCAATGTTTTTCTTACTGACGTTAATCTTGCCTTGGGTTTTAGCAAATGTTTCGGAAAGGGTACTTGAGTACGATGGCTGTATAGTACCCTGTGTTCTCTGAATCTTATTTTTCCATCTGTGTCGATGAAACCAACACTTGCATATTGCAAGCGAGCTGGGGCAGAGAAAGGTGATACTGTCTGGCTTGGCCCGTAAAGCACGGTTGCTAAGCTACTCCCCGGAGCAGCCGCCTGGGCTTTGGAGCCGGGTCTAATTGTTGTTGTTAATGATGTATTCCACATACTGCAGTCCCGAGAGTCACCGCCCTCTGGCTTTACCCAGCATCCACACACATTGTTGAATTGTTTTCAAAAAGAAAACCATGCTGGGAATTAGAACTAACTAAATGTGTTGCTGTGTGTTTCAAAGGAGGCTTAAAAAAGAAAAGAAAAGAAAAGATTTATTTTTTTCAAAAGACATTCAAAAGACCCGGTGGTTTTATTTCCAAAGCTACTTTGGGGTGCGCGTCTATAAATGTGGAACCGTGGCAGTGAGTGCGGCCTCCTCGGTAGGCAGGAGAGAGAAGGGCCTGGGTATCTCAGCCTTCCACACAGTAACCCTGGCCACGAAGGCCTCCTGCAGTGTAGACACACCCGAGCAGAAAACTGAGAGGAGACAGGGAGTTTGACACAGCAGTGGGAAAGGGTAGTCTGTCACCTGCTCCCTTCCACAGTGACCGTGACAGGAGATGGGTGACTACCTCACAGGATCCCACCCCACGGTCTCCTGCTGTTTCACGGGCATTCTTGTTTATGGGTGGCATGAAAGCCCCGTTCTCTGCCTCGCCAGAGGTTCCAGAGAAATTCAGGCTCGGGCTGCAAGCAGACGGATGCCAGAGGCCCCCTTGTCCCAGAGGTCAGGCAGGGCCAGAGTGATGTTAGAGTGAGCGCAGAACGGGCACAGCTACCCCTGCCCAGGGATCTCAGGTACTTTTTAGAGGCCCCCAGGCCTGTGCCACCTTCTGCAGGTGGGCTGGAAGAGTTGCATTTTCCGTGGCTGGCATGGGCCAGTCTGCGTTCTGGTCTGTCAGAGAGAGAGGCACCAGACTAAGACAAGGACAGACCAGACAGAGCCGGTCACTCAGATGGTCGTTAACCCTCACTTTCATTTCCTGAAGTGGAATGGCAGCATTACAGGCTGCAATGGCGTGGAACTGTTTCCTGCAGCCAGCTAGGTCATGTCAAGACAGGATAGCCTGGATGGCCATCTTGTGTGTGGCTGCCCGCTCCTGACTGTCATCAGGGTGACAAATGTGGGGGGCGGGGGTGAGAGGGTGCAGGTTCCCATCCAGGAAGGCCAAGTTGGCTCAGGGCCACAGGGAGGCCCAGCCAGGCTGGAAATGCCTGAACTCTACAGCAGGGGCTGCTCATTACATCTAAGACTTGGGTCAGGGTGTTTGGCACCTAGACCCAGTGGTGGTTGTGCACTTCTGGCAGAGTGTGGCTTCACTCAGGGCAGCCAACTCTGCGTTCCCGATTCCCTGGCCGGCACACACCTGGCACGGGGCAGCAGGGATCGTGTGGGCATAGGAGAAGTGAGAGTGGGGACACAGAGCCCTGGATGGGAGCCCGGGGCCTCCTGGGGGGAGGGCATCTTGACAGACTCCTGATGGGTCCCTTTCCTCTGTGCCCGAGAGGCGTTCCCCCACACCCCACACCTCTTTGTTTCACCTAAACCTTTGGTTACTCTCCACTGGTGTCAATTTATAGTATCCCCATGCTGTGATTTAAAAATCATCTTTTCAGTGATGAGATTTGATTAAAAAAAAGTGCTGAAATCATTAACAACTCTCCTTCCACCTGGCAAAACAGACTGAACTTGGGAATTTTTCGTTTCCCAAGAAGCCGAATGTCTTGACCCACAAGTCCTTTTACTCTGCTCTGTGCTTCAGACAGTCACATGCACCTCTGAAGAGCCCGTGGGTTTGACCCGTTGGGAGAGGGGCTCCCCCTGCCCTCCACCCCTAGGTGCTCACCAGCAGCACCTTTCCAGACCTGCTGCTGTGGGCTTTCTCCCTCGCCGAGGGGCTCACTGTTGGCCTCTGCCCCCTGGTGCCTCATACGCAACCCCAGCTGACTGCTTGGGGTTCTTCCTCAAGTCCCTGGAGCAGTTTGTCTTTAACTGTCTCGTTACTCTCCCAAGGCAGCATCACTTAAAGTGATACCAGGGCTGGAGAGGTAGTCCAGGTCATAGGGTGCTTGCCATGCACGCAGCCAGCCCAGGTTCGATCCCCAGCAGCCCATATGGTTCACTGAGCATAGTAGTAATTCTGAGTACAGAGCCAGGGGTAACCCCTGAGCATTGTCGGGTGTGGCCCCCAACCTCCACTCCAACAAGAAAGAAAGAAAGAAAGAAAGAAAGAAAGAAAGAAAGGTGATTTCCCCTATTTTTCTCCTTGTTTTTCCTCCCTCCAACCATCTCCTGCCACTTAACACAGTAGGTGGAGGTGCAGGGAATATCGGCTTATTTTGAGTTCTAGATACCATTTATTTCGAGTCACGTGCAGTGCTTGCAGGTTCTCAGTCAAACTTCTCCTCGTCTGGAATCCTGACCTTTTCCTGAGAGCCTGTGGTCTGTTTCCCTTTCACCCATCTCCCTGGGAGTAGCGGTTAGCACCTTGGCTCTGGGGTGCATTTCTCTTTACCTTGGCCCTGGGGCCCCAGGCTTTGAGAGCCAGGCTGTGTGAATTTTCGCCCTAAAGGGTCTTCTCCAGCCTTGGGGATGTGGGGGTGAAGGAGGGGGTGAGGCCCAGAAAGTCCAAGGAAAGGGGAAGTGGTCCATTTCTCTGCATGAGTCTTTAAACACCAGGTCCATGGTCCGGGAGCAGGGAAGCCAACTCTTCTGATTATTTCTAGCTTAGTAGGCAGAGGCTGGGGCTGAGAGCCTTGCCACTCTCCTCACCTGCCTCTGGGCCTCAGCTGGGTGGGCTTGTGTGTCTGGTGCAGAGAGCGGGTTTTGTTTGCTCCTCTGCAGGCCGCAGAGGCCTTGCTGTTGGCTGTAGCTGTTGGGGGCTGATGACACAGAAAGGAGAGGGTGTGAGCAATTTGCTGCAGAAGCCTATAGGCAGGAAAGGGCTGGGCCCGGGATGGCAGTCTCTGCCCCACAGCGGAATCCTGAGTTGAGGCCCCCTTCCTCTCCTGTGGAGGATTCTAGGTAGCAGAGCGCCCGGGGCCAGGGAGGACGTGCTCAGAGACAGGTTTGTTTCTCCTAAGAATTCCACTGGGAAAGACACTCTGCTCTCTGTGGCTCAGGTGACTGCCCAGGTGGGCAGAGAGATGCTCTCACTAGAGAACAGCTGTTTCTCTTTCCGGGTTTCGTGAACCAGACTTCAGAATGACAGTTTGTAGGGATGTGAGTGAGCTGAGGTTTCTCTGAGCAACACACTAAACCTGAGACAGCCAGGGTAGCCCCCACTTGGTGGTGCAAGGTGAGGACAGTCACAGTGGCTAGCCCACGCTGTGGTTCTGGGTCCTGATAGCTGCTTTATGAGCTGGTCCTTATTATGGAGCCCTTCAATGAAAAGTTAGTCAGCCAGTCAAGATAAGCCTTTGCTCCCTCTTGCCAGAAGCATTGCTCTACAGGTTCTGAATCCTCAGCCCAGCTGCTTCCTTTCAGCCTCCTGAGCAGCATCTGAGTCTTTTGATGGGAATGGATTTGTCATAGCCAAGGACTCCCCATCCCCTCTGTAGTGCACTTGGACTGTCCCTTCATCTGTCTCCCAAGGCTCACTTCTCTGTGACTTCCCAGCTGCCCTGTTATTTCCCACCTCATGCTTTTCTTTTCAGCTGAACCTTATTCACAGTGAAATCAGTAATTTAGCCGGCTTTGAGGTGGAGGCCATAATCAATCCTACCAATGCTGACATTGACCTTAAAGATGACCTAGGTAATTGGGAATGGGGTTTGGCACCACCAGCTGTCAGATGAAAAGTTATGGAACCCAGAATTTAGGCTCTGCATCTTCTCAATCTTAAGAGGGCCAAACCAAATTCCCCAACTGAAGATTGAATTTCTAGTATAGACATTAAACGTCTACTCCAAACCATTCCAAATGGAAAAGATCGATGTCTCCTTAAGTATGATTGGATACTTTCCCCTTGATTGTAAATATATCCCCATCTAAATTCTCTTCCATAATGATCAAACTGACTGCTGGTTTCTTGGGGGGGATTTTTTTAATGTGATTTTTTTTTGTTTTTGTTTTTTTCCTTTCTTAGAATCGAAAAGTCTCAGGTAAATACAAAATGATAGTTTCTCCATTTAGGCCTTAATTCAAAATGACCCTTGCAAGCAAATTTTGAAAGTACTTGAAAAGGAAGCTAATGATTAAGGCACTTTCACATACCATTAAGCTTCCTTTAATCCGCCAGCAAATTGGTTTCCCCCAAATTGTCCAGGTCCTGTCGTTTTCAATTCTTTCTCCACTGCAGACAGTCTGTGACTGAGTTATTTAAATTATTTGTAATTATTAAATAACTTGCATGAGTTATTTGACTCATGGATGGCATCACACAGAAGGGCCATCTCTCGTTCTTCTGAGGAAGCCGCCAGAGCCACAGCGTTGCCCTGCTCAGGGTTAGCTGAGAGGTGCCTCTCAGACGCCCTCTTCCAAGGCTGTGCCTTGCAAGAGCTGTGTGCTCAGGGTGAGATGCAGACTCCTGGCTTCTCTGTAAGTGTGGGCCTTGCCAGGGACCGTGGCCGCCAGGTGCCAGTGCTGCCTGTGGCATGCGAGCCCTGTCTCTGGCTGCCTTTGTAAGGTTTCCTCACTGGGAAGGATGCTTATTGGAGAACGCAGGCTATGTACTAGGGGAACGGTCATGGGGGAAGACATGGGAGCTGGGATCCGGAAAGCCCAGCTGAAACTGGCTTTTTCAGCTGCCTTATACAGACCATTTCTTTTCTTTCCTTTTTTCCTTAAAAAGGCCCAAATTAGCAAAAGCCAGGATTTTGTCAGAGCAGTTGTAAAATATTTAGAAATAAGCTTGGCTAGAATTAGAGGGGTGTCTGGAAAAATATTTTCTCTATACATTCTTGTACTATTTTCTTGAATGTTAAGCAGTGCTCCTTGAAGTTAGATAAAATGATCAATATTGTAAGACAACCAAATACCCTCCCCACCCCCACCCAAACTCCAAAAGCCTGTTCATTGACTGCTGTCCACAAAATGGAGAAACTTGTTGTTTTGGTTGGCCTGATAGTCCACGTTTTCTTTAAGAACAGATGCCATCTTTTAGTAGCCTTCTCAGTGGGGTGCCAGTTTTATAGGCTTTTGCGCAGTGAAATGGGCATTCGTGTTTTGTTATTTCTTTTAACCTTTGGAAATGATCTCATGTGTGTGTTTCTCTTTTTTTGGACTTGTCATTCAAATGTTTAATTTAAACATGTCACATTTGATATTCCTCCTCCTCCTCCTCTTCCTCCTCCTCCTCCACCTCCTCTTCCTCCTCCTCCTCCTCTCCTCACCCCCATCCACATGTGCGCACACTTCGTGGACTGATTGCCCCTTTGGCTCATATGTTGGACTCGACCAGGTAGGCCAGCCCTGCCATTGGGGCATTAGTAAATGTGCCTGTGCGTGGGTCTCGGTCCAACACAGTTGATATACATTTGTTTACCTGTTATAGTTGCAAGTTGTACAGGCTGACATTGCCTCGATCGACAGTGATGCTGTCGTTCACCCGACAAACAATGACTTCTACACCGGTGGTGAAGTAGGTAATGCCTAGCCGGGTGCTGCCGAGTGTGTGTGTGCATGGTCAGTCGGCCGCCGCAGACAGCTTGATCCTCTGACAGCTATGCAGGGCTGCATTCATTTCACACTTCCAGCTGTCCTGACCTTCCCTGGGTCGCCTGGGCCCCGGCTGTGAACATGCAGTGCAGCTGATGGGAAGCCAGGGTGCACCAGCAGCTCACCCACGGGCACACGCTGGTTTGGAATCTGGGTCCACGGTATCCTTCCTGGGTTTGCTCCCTGAGGTCCTGCTTTGCTGGAGACTGGGTTCACACAGGGTTTCAGCAGCTAGTGATAGCCAGGGCCATTGCATGCCTGCCGTGATAGGGCCCTGGCCTCAGAGCAGGCTCACCCTGAAGGTGGCCCTTAAGCCTCAGTGTGGATGAAGTGCTTTCAGAGCTCCCTTACACATGCTGAGGCCAGAAAGTGCCTTTCTCTCACCCCTTGCAAACTGGTAGGAATCCAGTCACCATCACCCTGTGGCATTAAGTAGCTGAGGGTGAGACAGGGTGGAGAGGGCCCTCAGCTATAGCCTCCCGGCAATATGTCAGGCAGAGCTTTGCTATAAGACCAGGCTGAGGGCCAGAGAGAGTACTAGGGGTAAGACACGGACTTGCCTTGCGTGTGAATGGCACCTTATATGGTGCTCCAGGGACTGCCAGGAGCACAGAGCCAGGAATAGCCCCTGAGGAGGCACCCTAGTCTAATAGCAGAAGCAAAAACGAAAACAAACAAACAAACAAACAAAAAAAAAAAACAAGAAAACACAGGCTTGAGGCTCCATTGGCAGGAACTTGGATCCCAGCCTCACCATTTCCTATTATTGGGGCCCTGGGGAAGGTGACTTATCTCCTCACTTCCCCTATACCACACCTGTAAAATAATGGTCATGAGGAGAATTGCATAAAATATTATAAGGAGAACACCTTGTTTTGTGCCTGGCTCTAGGCTGGTGCTTTGCTGAATTTTTTTCTCTCTCATGAGTATCTGATACTTACAGTAGAAACACTGCTCTCAAAAGCAGCATTGAGAGCAGATTCAGACCCCAGTTTCCAGAGAACGGGCACATTCCTATTCAGGGTGAAAGTGGGCTCCTCTTGCCAGACAAGGCATTCAGCTCTTCACGAGCATCTCCGGACACCAGCAGTGTAGCAGTGCAGCAGTCTGGAGTCCAGCTCTGCTTAACGTCACGTGCAGAGCCTGCTGTTCACGGTCGGCCTCGGCCTCAGTGCTTTGGGCTAATTGCTCTCCTGAGCATTTTGGATTTTGGACATGGCTGGAAAGACAAAGTGGATAGAAAGTCCAGATTCGCCAAGTCTGCCAGGAGAAAATGGAATCAGGCTGTAGGCAATTAAAATAAACTCCCCTTCCACAATATTTTGGAGGAGTTTAAGAGCTCCTAAGTCAGGCAGCTTAGGAGAAAGATGCTTTCTTTGTTGACCAAATGAAAAGTTGATGGGAAGGAAGTGCTCATTTGTAGCAAAACACCTAAGTGAGCAGCTCGGGGCTTGTCTTGCTTTCAGTCAGGAGTGACTAAGGCCTGGGCTTGCTGTGCCACTAAGATGTTCTGGTGCAGTGGGGATGATGAGCTGACCAGGCTCAGGAAGAGAAGCAAGTTGGCCCAGGGAAGCCACCTGCTCAGCAGGACTAGACTTGCAGTAGGTAGGGCCGAGGCTGGTGGGATCCATCTGCGCCCTCCCAGCAGAGCCTTGTGCTTCCCAACTCGGAACAGATCTAGTCTTGTTGGGTGGAAGAATGACAGTGCCGAGCTTCTCTCACCCACTGGTGGGCATTGTTAGTCCCCGGACTGGCCACCAGTATAGTGCCCAGCACTCCAGACACCTCAACTGCCCTGTGAGGACAGCTGGTGCCCAAACCAGAACCTGAACCCAGATCTTCCAAAGCCTACCTCAGCGTTCTTTCTGCCCAGTGAACCAGTCCAAACCAGTATTGAGCCCAATTAGCTCTTATAGTTCCAAAACCATGGCAAACCCGATTCATGCATGGTCTCAATTGGTTCCAGCTCTCACTCGGATATGTGAGAGGAGAAAAAAAAAAGAGGAAGAGAGGACATAATCACTCCATTTCTCATATTTGGTGTGAATTCCTGAGTCCTGAGACTGCTGGAAGAAGGAATGCGAGTGCAGGAATGCTTAGCCCCAGTGATTAACTTTTGCCCATCCGAAGTTCTTTCTAACAGTGAAATAGACCACAGGCTTAGCCTGACATTTGTCCAAGCCTAAATTTTCGCTTAGGCTGTTTTGAACACTGATACTTCTGCCTGCTTTCTAAGCATGAAATAATGTCCTTGTTCTCCTGAGAGTAACACATGTTTATGCTTGGGGGCAAATAAGCCAATTGCTTCATGATTAACCCTGAAGTTAAGTCTAAAAAGGAAGAGTCTTCCATTAAGAGTGTTGACAATATAGCTGAAATGGGCCTGTTTCTTGTTAAAAAGTACACGTGTGTCTACATGAACATGTGCATACATGTATGTGTGTAGGGTCCATCCAGACCTGGCTGGGTTGATTGCCTGCAATCTAAGGTTCAATTTTTAAGTTCGGGAAATGCATTCAGTATATTTTAACTTGCAAATTTCACTTCTAATTAAAGTAAGATTTAATTATAAGTAAAAAAATTTTAAAGTAAACACTCTTCCTAAGATTAAAAATATTAACATAGAATTAATGACCGATACAAATTATAAATCAGCCCATTTTCTTAAGACATGTTTTGTATTTTAGAAAGGGTATGCAGTGTTAATGCTGATTTTACGTGGCCTTCCAAATTCTCTACTTCCCATCAGTGTGTGGCTGTGATAGAGAAACCCCCAGTCGAAACCCCCAAAGAAACCCCACCTCTCTGGGTGTGTGGTGTCCGCCCCTCAAGCTTGAGGACGGGCTGGGAGAAATCCCTCCCTGGCAGCACAGCAATCCCATTGTCTGGCTCAGGTTTAGAGCCGTTTTTTTTCCGTCCCACGGATGTTTCCAGTGACTCTGTAATCAGGTCTCACTGGCCAGGGTTGCATCCTTAGGCTACCCACTCCCAGAGGCATGTTCAGTGGCTGTCGCTGCCCCTGAACTCAACCAGAGCCACACAGCTAGGATGGAGCTCTTCCCTCCTGCCAGTGCTGCCATCGAGAGCCTCCCCCGCTGCCATCCCAGCCAGGAGGCCATGCAGGCCTATGAAGGGGCACCATAGCCAAGTCAGTGGAAGGCAGGCCCCTCTCGGCTGAGTGCCCCCAACTTCCTGCAGAGAGGCAGCTGACAGGTCAGTGACAGGTCTGTCCTGTGATAGCACCCAGGCTGTCTGGTTTTTCTTCCAGATGCTTCTTGGGGGCTAGTTCTTCCCTCCACAGCCAGCAAGCCGAGGGAGACGGGTCTGTAAGACAGGCCTTGTCACCACCCGGCGACTCCAAGGGGACTCTGGGCAGGGCAGGGCACTGCAACCTCACCCGCCACACCGCCACGTGCCAGGGCACCTTGAATTAAGATAAATGGTGAATCTTAAGGGGAGTATTTTATCCTCTGGCGAGGAAAAGTACTTTAAAATGTGTGAGGCGGAGGAATCAGAGCTTCAGGAAGACCTACTGGCGGGTGGCACGGTGGCTCGGCTGGTGCTGCTCACTGTCCCATGGGAGACCGGGGCCCACACCAGCAAGGAGCTGCTGATCCTGTTTGGGAACCTGAATTTGGAAAACGTGGTGTTCCCTCTACTGCTGCTGGATTTAAAAAATAAAAATCTGTTCCCAAACAGTTTAGCATCATGTGCCCAAATTTTTACACAAAACAGGTCTGTCTTTAAGCTCTGCTTCCGATGTTTCTCTCCTTTACCTAAAATGATTCTGAATCATCAGTGTGATTAAAGAAATACTGTCTGAGGCCATTATTTTGGTGTGTGCCTGTGTGTGTGTGTGTGTGTGTGTGTGTGTGTGTGTGTGTGTGTTTGCATATGGCACCAAAGCTGCAGAATAGGAACTAAGCACAGCCAGCCTGCTGGTCCTCGGGCACTGGCATTTGGGCCTGCTGCTCAGATCACATGCCACTTCTGAAACTTCCACCTTGGAAGGGCTCCCCAAACACAAGTTGCAGGGGAGGCATTTGTCTGGAAGACCAGCCCCATGAGGTTTTTCCTGCTGATAGTAAATAAGAAGGTGGAACAGACCTTTTGCCCTTTCCCTAGCGTGTTCAAGTCTTCCTGGGTCTCCCCTAAATAACCAGCAGGAAAGACAGCTCACCAGGTGAGGCACTAACTGGCCCCTGAGGAATTCCTTCTCCAGGGCTCACTTTTCAGACTCAGCCAAGGCTTGCTTAGTTGCTGTTTTGATGCAGAATGGAAATGGAGCTGGTCAGATCATTTGAAGTATGTGGTCACCTGACATGCTGTGTGTGTGTGTGTGTGTGTGTGTGTGTGTGTGTGTGTGTGTGTGTGTACATGCTCTGCCAGAGACACCACCAGAGCCATCTCACCACTCTCTGTCCTTGTCTAGGAAATACGCTGGAGAAGAAAGGTGGCAAAGAGTTTGTGGAAGCAGTTCTGGAACTCCGGAAAAAGAACGGGCCCTTGGAAGTGGCTGGAGGTGAGGTGGGGCCACACAGGAGTAAGTGACTGTTCAGGAATGCTGAGGGCTCAGGGGAGCATGGGCGAGCTGAGTGCTTCAACTAAGAATTGTGGCCCATGCAAAGTGGCTGGTGGACACAACAGCCTGTTAAAATGTCTTCCCAGCTATTTTTCAGAAGCTAAAACAGCTAGTGGTGTCTAGATCTTGATTTGTAGGAATTATAGAATCCAAGCCTGGCAAATGTAAGAACTAAAAATTATAGATTGTGATACTGATCTATAGAACTGAGGGTGAAATATGTGAATTGATCATTTTCCTCAATCATCTGATTTTTAATGGCAAAATATTTAAGTACACATTTATTATTTGCTAACAACAGCTTTCCCGATAAGGGAGATAAGGAAGCAACTTGGATGTGGAGAGAATTCTTGCTACCAGACAGGGTCCTCCCTCAGTGCTGCCAGGCCGAGCACTGGATCTTTAGCGAGCTATGGGCCGGAGTTTGTCTGGGGGCCTGGAAACCCCGCTACACTGAGGGCAGGCTCCCTCTCCTCTGGGCTCTGGTTCTCTCCTCTTGGATGCTTCCCACATGTCCATATGTCCCCCAAATCCTGATGACTCGTCACTGAATGCAGCAGGGCCAGTTACAGTGTCATGTTGTGCCCTGGCTCCCCAGCCGAGCCACAGGATCCTGAGGGGACAATAAGACTCCAGAACATCTTCGCCGAACTTGCCCTCCTCCTGGCCTGTCCTCTGCCCAGCAGTTCCCTCCATGGGTGTCTGGTAGCAAGAAGGGAGGCCTCACAGCACTAATGGCGACCCAGCCAGGGTCACCTCACCCTGCCCAGCACCTCTTTGTTCTAGCCTGGAGGTCTTTCCTCTCAGTAATTTGGCTCAAGCCCATTCACCAGCAGCACCAGGTCTGACTGGACTTTCAGCAGCAAACAGCTAGAAAAACTGTAGCTGATCCAGGGCCCAGAGCAACAGTGCAGTACAGCAGCTCCAGCACTACATGGCTGATCTGGGCTCAATCCCTGGCATCACATCTGGTCCCCGAGCATCAGTGGGTCAGTCCTGAGCACTGCTGGATGTGGCCCTAGAACAAAAACACAAAACACAGACCCCTAAATGACTCAGTAGGACAATTGCTGATTTTCATGATACCTTTTTAGGAAACATTCCAAAGAGGGTCATCATTAGCACCCGTGGGTTGGGTCTTCCATGCACCTTTCATCTGGGACTTCTTGGGTGGACCACCCAGAGTGCCTGGCCAATCTTAAAGCTGGGGCAAACACAGACCACAGCTCAGCACTATATCCACTAGGGACCCGACCTTAACAGCCCCGTTGAGATGGTGCCCACAGGTGTTCCTCATAAAGGAGGTTTCAGATACACATGAAAACATGTGAGTGTCTCAGCATTGTGGGGCACAGAGGCAAGCATGCACCCATGTAGGCATAGCAACGACCAGGTACCCAGAATGTCCACCTCCACTGCATCTCCCGCAGGACCTTACTTTTTGTTTTTTGGGTCACACCCAGTGATGCACAGGGGTTACTCTTGGCTCCTGCACTCAGGAATTGCTCCTGGCGGTGCTCAGGGGACCATATGGGATGCTGGGAATCGAACCCGGGTCGGCCGCGTGTAGGGCAAATGCCCTACCTGCTGTATTATCACTCCAGCCCAGGACTTCTGAAAGATGCTGCTCTGACACAGACCTCAGGCCAGTGTCTTTAAACAGTGGTAGAGATCTAGAGAGACTGTCTGCAATGGAGGTGTGTGGTTAGAACAAAGGCTCTTCATCCTGGAAAGGAAAATAGTTGCACCCTGATAACACAGTCTGATTAACTCTGTTAAAACTGAACAGGCTCTGTAAGGGATAATGCACGGGGATGCTTAGCAGCTCATTAAAAGGGGCTGCTTTCCTAATACCTTTATCCTGAACTGTGCCCAGGAGAGTCTCAGATACAGCATAATTATCAGCACATGGATTCACTTGAGGAAAGGAGATTGGAGACCCCAAAAGGCAATTAATCCGCTCCTCACAAGCGGAGCCATTTGGTCAGGTTAGGTGGTAAAGCTCTTCTCTCCAGGAGGTGGAGGAGACGGGTGCCCTCAACTCTTGGCTAAAGCTACTGTTCCTTTACATGGAGATGCTAAAGAAGACTCCAGTGGGGTCTGCATCCCCCTCCAGAGAACTGAATTAAGATGAGCGTCTTCCAGCTCATGGTTGTCACCCAGAGCAGATATGGCCCTCCCTGGGCACAGGTTGGGGTGGGGGTCAGTGTGTGGCAGCCTGGGCTCTATGGAGACACGGAAATCACTGCTCTGGTTTCGTGTCCTGCAGCTGCGGTCAGTGCAGGCCACGGCCTGCCCGCCAAGTTCGTGATTCACTGTAACAGCCCCGTATGGGGTGCAGACAAGTGTGAGGAACTTCTGGAAAAGACAGTGAAGAACTGCTTGGCACTGGCTGACGATAAGAAGCTGAAGTCCATCGCCTTCCCATCCATTGGCAGCGGCAGGTAAGGGCTCAGAGTTGCCCTGTCATGTGCCAGCCTGGGCGGCAGAGCACAGGGTCAGCTGCATCTTCTCTCAGGCTCTGGCCTCTGTGGTCGCTGTGTGGGCAGGTCCCTGCGTGCTCGGGGCCTCCCTGGCAAAAAGAGAGAGGAATACCCTGTCCCGAGGTGTGAGGAGGGGCCCCGGGGGAGGACAAGAGAAGCTCATGCCCCCCCCCCCCCCCCCGGGTAAGAAGGGGGGAGACATGTTTGTGCACGCTCGGCTCTCAGCCAGCAGACGTGAGCAGCCCTTCACTGTCACTCTGGTTGGGTGCCCAGAGGAGGGAAAGCTGACAGCAGCCGAAAGCCCTGTCCTGGTTCCTTGTAGGCGGTGAGAGACCTGTCACCAAGTGGAGTGCTATACTGTTGTGCAACCTTTGGATACTAGGTCAGCCTCTCTGTGCCCCCTTATCAGCGGGGGTGGCCGTGTGCCACTGTTCATTAGCGCTTCCAATGCACTTTGATCTGTGCTGATGAAAGTTGTTGCTGGAGAGAGAAGCACCGGGAGTGATCTCACACTCCTTCATATGGCTATTGGCGACATTTTAATTGACGCATAAAAGTCATTCCCATAAAGAAAAGCATATGTTATTACCAACTCATTTACATTTTTCATGGAGAGAGAGAAAAAAAGCTTTGATTCTTTTTTTTTTTTTTAACAACTCAGGAGGGCAGAATGCTGAGGGCAAGAATGTGCAAAGTGCCCCACATCTGCGGGGCAGACCCATGCGCACAGCTGCCCTCTCTTTCATGAGGCCAGAGCAGGATTACAACAGAGCTGGTCAGTAAATCATAGTGGGTTAGGAGGGGAAATAAAGCAGCTTGTTTGTGGCATCCAATCGCTCCAGGGAAAAGACAGGTTGGAATTAAAAGTCTCAACGCAACACAAACCGTCCCCCACCTCAGGGCATCTTGTCTTTGGTTGGCCCCACTGCTGCAGGGTGGGGTGACACTGGGCAGGGGGGTCTGCAGAGGGGCACACTGAGGGACCAGGAGGAGCTTCAGAGGCACAGCACTTTGTTTCTTCCCTGTCCTCCCGTGGCCGGGGGCTTGTGGAGTTCCAGGCTCTGTTCTGACCTGGCTCTGCTCCGGGTAGGGGGGAGGAGAAAGAAAGGACAGGAGCAAAGTCCCTGGGGGAGGATTATTCCTGCACTCCAGACCTGCGAGCCCGGGGAAGAGCATGGGAAGAGGCCATTTTGGCTTTGCTGCTGACTTAGCGGCAACCCGGGGGTATGGGGGTCCGTCCAGGGGATAGGCATGTGGCCCAGGCTCCCTGCCCCCTCCCCCCAAGCTGCCTGAATCTGAGTTCTTTCCACCTCGCAGATGGCCAGGACAATCCGGAAGGTGGCATGGAGCAAACGGAGGCCGCTGCTGCACAGCGCCTCTACCCATAGGGCCCCTGCCGGCCTGCCTCTGTGCAGGTGGCGCTGCAGGTCGCCATCCAGCAACAGCTTGGGGAAACTGAGGCTCAAGAACTTGGAGGGTTGGTGCTAGACAGATGGAGGGACTCCGGGAGAGACGCAGATATCTCGGACTCCTCAGCAAGCTTCAGATGAGACCGGAAGCCAGAGTGTTGGGCGGCCTCTGAGGGGTGCCCATCACAGGGTGGGAAGTGGCAGCTGCAGTACCACCTTGGCCCTGGCTGGGGGTGTGGGAGCTGAGTCCTCACTGCAGCCTGTGAGCCGCGGCGCTTCCTCATGGGGCCAAGAGTCAGGCTTGGTGAGAAACATGTCTAGGAGCAAAGCAGATTCACACACGGGGGCGGGATTCACTGCCTTAGCCCCTCTGCGCAGCCTGCACCCACCTGCCAGAAGGAGCCCCAGGGGGTGCGAGTCCAGAGGTGCTGTGCACAAGTTCGGAGGCTCGGGGCTGTACTCCCCAGCTCCACACAGCAGCCTTGGGGTGGGGTCGGGCACCGGCTGCAGCCAGTATGGAGACGACGGTGACTCAGCCAGGGCCCTCCACTCCCCATGCAAGTGTGGTGCAGAGACAGGCTGGCAGGAGGCCCTCACCACAGGTTCCCATTTAAAATTCCGTCCCTCTCTGCTCTGTCACCCACATCCTGCTCAGGCCTTTATCAGGGATGAACAGGGGGTAGGGGGCTGTCCTCTGACAGGTCCCCAGTAGCATCTGGAGTTGGTGCTGCTGTGCTCAGGGCTCTCCTTGCAGATGGAGGGGCAGGGCGGGGCGCCAGGATTCCCACCACACTCTCTGGAGAGATACCCCAGACTCAGGAGACCACGCTGATGCCCACTGTGTCATCCCCGATAGCTTCCACCTGGGCTTGCTAACGGCCAGGCAGGGGCCCTGCCTCCCAGCAGCCCCCTTGTGTGGGGCATTACACATCTCGCTGACTCCCCACCACAAGATTGTAGCCCTCCACCCTTCTCCACAGGCTTCTGCACAAGCAGGTGTGTGCCCTGGGATGATGCCTGGAGTCTCTGGGCATGTGCGCCACCCCTGTGCCTCTGGAGGCTCCATTGCCAAGTGGGGGAAACCAGGTGTGAGCGTGAGCCAGAGCAAGCTTCAGAGAGGGTCCCCTGTGCCTCTGGAAGGCTCCAAACGCTACACGCAGAACCCACCCTTACGCCTCAGCACTCGGCCCATGAAGGATGGCAAGGGGTCCCACAATGCAGACAAGAATGGCCTCACCTGGCCGCAGGTGCCCCTCCAAGGGCAAGTCCCAGCTGACATGGGCAGACTGGCCTGGCATTTGGGTCCAAATGGGTCCACAGACTCAGGGCCACCTGTAAGCAAGGGACTCCCCAAGAAAGCAGGCCCCAGCCTCGCCACCAGGACCCTTAACTGTAAACGTCTGCGCCCAGGACTCACAGGTGCTGAGCGGTTTGCGGCTGCCATCCTCCTGGGTGGCCCGGGTCTTGTACGCGCAGTGCTGACCAGCCCTCCAGCCCCAGCTCCACCCCCTCCCTGGGCTTACCCCCCTTTAAAAGTGGAAACTGGGTGATGCTCCTCCTGACTATGGGGGAGACCTGGATGCTCTAAAGAGAAAGAACCCCATTGGGCCAGAGTTGTGCCCCCAGTTCCTGTGGGTGCAGGCTGGTGTGGAATGGGGTGAGTTACTGGCCCACAGCCCCAGGGATCCTCTGTGGAAGCCGTCCCTCCGTGTGGAGCCCGACTTCTGGATAGTCTTGGCTCCTATTCCTCCAGGGTCTCCTGACGGCATTGTGTCCTTTCCCGCAGGAATGGCTTCCCGAAGCAGACGGCGGCACAGCTGATCCTGAAAGCCATCTCCAGTTACTTCGTGTCCACCATGTCTTCCTCCATCAAGACGGTGTACTTCGTGCTCTTCGATAGCGAGAGTATAGGCATCTATGTGCAGGAAATGGCCAAGCTGGACGCCAACTAGGCCGCGGAACTCGGAGCCGGCCTGCGCCAATCCCCGCCTCCCATCAGAAAGAAAAGAAAAAAAAAATCCCCTGCCCTCCTGGGAGACGGGGACCCTCCGTTTCCATTTTGCTCATCTAGGGAGAAAAGGCTTTGGTTCCAGTCTAATTGTTTTTGACCTTCTACCATGTTTTTCGTTAGCACTGATAGTTGGCATTGCTGTTGTTCAAGCACTGTGTTCCAGACCGTGTCTGACCTTAGTGTGACTAGGAGAGTTTCTAGTTTTGTTTTACCGAGATCCTGCGCGGTGGGTGCACGGCAGTGGAGGGCCACATCCTCTGCGGGGCAGAACCCAGGAACCCCCTTTTTTTGTAACCCGTGTGTTGTGGTGCTTTATCGTACACCCAGTGGCGTTCTTTTTACTATAATGTCCTCCCTCATCCCCCTTTTTTTCCCCTCAAGAAGAAAAAAAAATCATGAATTTGCAGCAGACTTAATTTTTGTTTACTTTTTCTTTTGTCTTAATGATGGATTTGAAAATGAAAGATTTAAGAGGCAGAACAGAGATCTGCTGTCCTTAATTATATTTGCAATTGGAAATTTCTGTGAATTGATTTAGTAAAATGCTAAACTGGTGTCGTGACTGCTGAGTTTCAAGCTGGAATCTCTCCCTGCAGGGCTGGGGGGGGTGGGGGGGGGCGGCAGCATATAGCGCCCTGGGGGCCGCTGCAGTGAACAGGGCTTATCTTTGAACACCAACAGCTTGGAAAGGGAGTTGAGGTAGAATCTCAACTTTCACCCTTGTGACCCTGGCAAGGGGGAGTGAGCCCCACTTCTCAGAGGCGGAAGCAGATGTGCTGAAAGTCCAGCTGTGTGCCATACGGCGGGCTAGTCCCCGAGCAGGGTCTTCCCAGCCCGAGCCCCACTTCCTTGGGCCCCAGAATAGGTGGTCTGCGAAGTTCCTGAGGTCAGGAGCTCTTTGAGGTGTCCCCAACAGTCCCGTGTTGCCAACGTTCACCTGCTCTGACAGAGCCATTTTGGCAGCGGCTTCTCTAGAAAGATGCAGTGAATCAGAGCAGCTAAACGCTGTCCCTGAAACCTGCTAGCAAAATGCAGACACTTTTCACTTCAGAGTTCTCTGCCTCACTGTGGACAGGCCTATGGTGCACAGAAACAGGCAGAACGTGGCCCATCAAGTGTGGATGGGAAGGACCCACTTGCATCCCAAAATGAGCCAGGACACCCAGCCCAGGAGGCCCCAAACACCACACAGCCCAAACTTAAAAGATGATAGTTGTCTAAGTTTCTCCTAAATATGTCCTTACAACTTAAAACATGTCCCCCCCCACCTCCATCAAAGGTTTAGCAGGAAGTGATGACTCATCTCTATAGCTTGATTAGCGTTTGGCCCGCAAAAGAAGAAAGCTTGGCACTCTCTCTTCAAGAGGACTGCATCTCAAAGGGGTTTCAGTCCGGATTGCAGATTGCTCTTCCAAAACATAATGCGTGGTCATTCACCCTGGAGTGTAGTTTCCATGCTTACAAATGGGCGTGGGGTGAGGGGCACTCACTGTGGGCTTCCAGCTGGCAGCCCTGATTATTGGTGTGTGCCAGGGCTACACGAGTCCCCCGGGCTGGGACATCACATGCAGTAACACAGGTCAGTTCTTGTGATTAGGTCAAGGAGGCCAAGAGAAGTAACTTGCTCATGGGACGGGGGAAGTGGCTCAGTGGTGGGGCACAGACCTCGCTTGTGGGAGACCCTGGGCTCAATCCCAGGTGCCAAACAAAAAGAAACTAACATGACCCGAAACTAACATCATACATAGATTCAAACACCAAAATTCTTCATGGAAATTTAGGGCCTGATGTGTCTCTCCCGTCAGAGACTGGAGAATGCACTGGCCCTGGTAGAATTTCTGAGCCAGGTACTGAGGCTTGGATGGAACCAGGGTTAGGGTTGAGAGATCATCTCCTTAGGCCACCAGACTCAACCAGACTCAAACCCGTCCTTAGCCGGGATCCTCCACTAGGTGTCGCTAAAAGGATTGGGAAGTTAAGAGGAAAGGGCCCCCATGTCTGCTTTCACTGGGCTTGCACCAAAGAATAAATTACATCTGTCAGGATCGACATGTATTATTGACTATGATCATCCAAATGTTTCTAAACTTTCAGTAACCCAAAGCGCATTGCGCCCTGAGGTAAGGGCTTATTGACAAAGTTCAGTGAAACCGAGAGAGCTGACCCGAGTCCTCATCATCTCTGAAGCACCCAGTCAGTTTTGAAAACCGGGTTGACAAACTGCTCTGATGAGAGAGGGGAAAAGCAAAGATGATGACTTACCTGAACAAAGTACCAATATGAGGTTGGAGAGTGTACAGGGGTGAGATGCTTGCCATGCCTGGACACTCTGGGTTCATCCGTGGTTCTTTGTGGTCCTAAGCCTCTCCAGGAGTGACCCCTGAGTACAGAGCCAGGGGTCTCGAGCCAGGGGTCTCGTGCTGAACGTAGTCCAAACCCCACTCCCTCAGAGTGCTGACAATACACACACACCCCTAGAGAGAAGACAAGTGTGTAGCACCACGTCTGTCTCTGAGGGCACCCTACAGGTTCTCACTGCTCTGAGTGGAGAGAGGCAGACAGAGTGGGTGGCACACATGCTCTACCCTGCTGGGCAGAAGCCCCTCCAGATGACTCGCACTCGAACTCGGCCACGGCTCCATGGGGACTCGACTGAGCATCTAAACTGGCCACCTCGCTCCCGGGTCTTTATCCCCACAGCTCCCTTCACTTCTGGGGGCCACTGATGAGGTGATTGGCTCTTAAAGCTCAACAGCCACTGGGAGATTGGGGGGAGAGGAAAGGTAAGGGGTGTCTGGTCACAGCCATCTGACTCGGCAAACAGACCTCTCCCCACAGATGCAGCTTTCGGAGCTGGCGTCTCCTCTGGTATGCACCCCTAAATTCGACTCCAGTGAGGCTTCTGCCTACTTGACCTGTGCAGCTAGTCCTGAGGGCTGGGGTGAAAAGTGTAGGATATAGGGTGGCTGGTGCACAGGACATGGGGAGTGACTGGTTCTCCTGCAGAGAAGTGGCCCCAGGGGTTCAGGGATGGTTCTGGAAGCAGGTACCCTGGAGCTGGACTCTGCAGTGAGCTAGGACATTCCTATCAAGAGTGAGGTGGTGGTGCTAAGGCATTGTGTGGCACTTAGGGCCCTGCATGTGGGCTGCTCCTTCCTGCCCAACCCCTGAACCCCTCAGCATGTCCAGTCCCAGCTGAGAGGCAGCCTAGAAGGGCCGGCACCTGCTCTCCTCCACGCATGTCCCTTCCAGTCTGGGGCTCCCATCCAGCTCCATGGGCCCACCCAGGGAGTGTGTGTGTGTGTGTGTGTGTGTGTGTGTGTGTGTTGGAGGGAGGGGGGGTGACCTGCTGCCATGGTTGTCGCTCAGTAGACCTCTTGTCTGTCAGAGCCCAGTGCATCATAGCCACTGAGGTGTTTGATCTGCGTTATCGGGGCGCTGGCCTTGGTGCCACCTGCTTTGCAGCCAGTCACCTGAAGCGCAGGGCGGAGTGGGGCCTGGCTGCGCCCAGGAAGAAAGGGAAACACTCAGTGGCAGGGGGAGGCCACCTTTGCTTTGGCTTTTCTTCTATTTATAAGCTCACCTGGGGTGTTTGCCCCCGCCCATATCAAAATAATATCACATGACTTTCCTGTCAAGCAAAGCAATAAAACTGCTCATTAATCCCGACCCCCTTCACCGCCCCCCATACTCCTCAGCAAAGGTGTGTAAACAGATTGGCCTTTCCCTGACCCCTAAAAACCAACCCAGCCGGGGCTGCTTTGTCCGGCAGAGAAAGAACGTCTGAGAACAGAGGCACTTTCCTCCGCAACCCCCTTCTCCCGTCAGTGCCACCCCCACCCACCTCCACCACGGAGACCCAAGTGCACACCACACAAGTCACGCACAGGTATGTGCCGCCACATGCACACCCACATGTACACCTGGAGCCACAAGAATTCAAGGACGCAGACATCCCCCACCTGAGTGCAAGCCAGCAGCTCCAACTAAACAACCGCCAGTTCTCCTCACTGCATTCATCTGTAGGTGTGGATTTTCTGCACGCCCCCAGGCGTTGAGGATGCTGAGAGGGGGGGCACCCCAGTTTGCCCCCAGAGTCTGCTGGGGGCTCCTGCTCACGTGGCAGGTGTGCCACTCCTGTGATCCGGACACAATGCCGGGTCATGCCATCACTGAGGAGTGGGCCTTGGAGCACCCCTCAAAGTGGCACAGTGGCAGCTCATGCAGGCCTGGAACCACCGGCTCTCTTATGCCCAGAACCCAGGAAGCAAGAGTCTGGGTCACAGCCAGGGTGGCAGGTCCTCTGTGCCCGGCGAGCACCCTGGACTCTGGGCAGTGTGTCTGATGCAAATAGCACAGTGCACCCCCAAACCCGCCCTTCATTCCCCCACACGTGACTGAGCCCTGCTGCTGGCCCTGGTGCTCCAAGAACTCCACACGCTGGAACCAGGAGGCCCCTGAGGCAGAAGAGAATAAATTAGAGTCAAGTTCCCGCCGGCTCAGCTGTGGCAGATGGGCAAATTGATCGGCTTCCCACCTGGGAGATTAAGTTCCACCACCCAAAATGGCAGCAGGGTAATGAGCTGTCAGTCACCCTGTGCAGAGCTGGCCCAGCGTGTAATTGAAACCCAGTAGCCCCTCATTAGGTCCCACAGAGGTCCTGACTGCAGGTTCCCACACTGGGGCAGGCCCTTCCCCCCATGGAGGATGCACCTAGCCTGGTGGAGCACCTCATGGAGCACCTCACTGGGTGCATGCCGGACCACTAGCCTGGTGGCCCCATGGAGCTAACTGTGGGCAAATCCCAACATCTGGAAGGGGGCAACATCAAACCCCGCTTCCCCAGGGTTTTCACCCATACCTTCTGTGTCCCCTCCAGCATCCCCCCTCCCCCTCTCACTTCAGGGCTTCTCTGAGGCCATTGATCCCACACATCTTAATAGGCAGGTACATCGGCAACAGGACCAGTGTTCCAGGGTCCTGAGCAGCATGTCCTGAGTCTAGAAGCTTCGGAGAGCCCCTGCCTGGACAGGAGGCCACATCCCACTCCTATACCAGCAGCACCCAGTATGCCCCAGACCTGAGCACAGAGGTAAAATCACCATGGCACAGGGTCATGAGAGCCATCTGCTACCCCCCATGCTCTGGAGGAAAATGTTAGCCGCAGGGCTGGGCCCATGGTTCAGAGCACATGCCTGACAGGTATAAATCCTTGGATTTGCTCCCCGGCATCACCTGCCTCCGCACCCCAACCCAAGCACCGTTGAGCATCACCCTGGTGGCACTCAGCACTGCTGAGTGCAATTGCTGGACCCACACTGATGCACCTGTTGACTGAGAATTGATGGGAGGCCCCTCCTGGACACAGTCGTCTGGAGAACCCCCAAACTTCCCCCCAAAATCCAAACAGAGCCAGAGCTGTGAGCCTCGGTGTGAGGAGTAGCACGCCCAGTGCAGGGCTGGAGAGATGAGGGAGTTCACAAGCATCCTGTGCCCATCCTTCTATGACCTGGCAAAGGGATCATTGTCACCTGGCTCCTTAGGTGAGGGCACTT